GAATGGCACATGGCAGAGGGCTACAACTCATGGCGGCAGAACACAGCAAAGCAACAAGCACAAAAGCCAGGAAATGGCCCCAAGCAGCCTCTTTCTCTCCCTTACACATGCAAACTATCCACCCCAGGGTGGGTGTAGCTCTCACACCCATAATCAATCAAACTCTGAAAGCCTGCCCCATGACCGCATGAGGCTTTGGGGGGACACCCAGACACAAACCATAACAATGGCCATTCCATTAAGTGGCTATTTTGTGTTTTAATGGTCCTAAAGAACACTGTGCTAAGTGAAACAAGCCAGACAGAGAAATAAGCCAGACAGAGAAAGGCAAACACTCAATGATCTCCCTTGTATATGGAACATTAAAAAATTGAACTCATGGGAGCAGAGAGTAGAAGGCTGGTTGGCAGGGCTTAGGAGTGTGAGGGAAATAGGGAGATATTTGCTTAAAGAATACAGTTTCAGTTATGCTAGATGACTAAGTCCCAGAGACCCCATGAACAGCCCAGAGACAACGGGTGACAATGCTGTCTTGCACATTTGCTAAGAGAGTTGATCTTCAGTGTTTTCTCTCACACACACAACTGGTAATTACATGAGGTGGAGATGCCAATTAGTTTGACTGTGGGAAACATTTCACAGTGTACATATATGTCAAAACGTAGATAGTGAATTTATACAATTTTCCAGGTGCGGTGGCATTCAGTACTCAAGAGGCTGAAGCAGGCAGATGGCAAGTTTAAGGCCAGCCTGAACTATGAAGTGAGTCAGTCTTTAAAAAACAAAATAGCAAAAAATAAAAATAAATTTCTACAATTTTTATTAGTTAAGTATATCTCAATAAAATGAGAAAAGAAAATTTAAATCCAGCTTGAGCATTAAGTGACTATGAGGTGTTCTGAACCCGGGGAACTCTGCCCATGAGATCTCTTTCTCCAGGCAGCCACCATCCTTCAAATGCAGTATCTGCTCAGAATCATCTCAACAATGACAAATCTTTGTAATATGTTTTAATGTGAACTAGGTATAAATTCTTCCTTGTTATTCATCTTAGGTCCAAATTTTTGGTCACTTTCATATTTATTTTACAATGTAAACCTTAAAGTGACCTTCACTAGTTAAAAAAATCATAATTGTGCCCAGGGTGGTGGCAGATGCCTGTAATCCCAGCAGTTGGGAGGCTGAGGCAGGAAGATTGCCATGCATTTGAGGCCAGCCTGTTCTAAAAAGCAAGACTCTTTCTCAAAAAGAAAAAAAGAAATCATAGGTGTATTTTTGGTGATATGGTATTAAATATACAGAGTAATTTAATGAATTTTTTTAAGAGAGGGTCTCATTATTTAGTCCAGACTAGCCTCCAAATTGCAGTGATCCTCCTGCCTCAGCCTCCTGAGTGCTTGGATTAGAGGTGTATACCACCATTCCTGGCTCAGTCTTCTGGATCTTTTAAAAAATATTTACTTGACACATAGTAATGGTCCATATTTATAGGACTTATTGTGAAATTTCAATACATATACAGTATATAATGTGTAATGATCAGATAAGGGTAATCCTCATGTCTATCACCTAAGACACTAAGGATGTTGGATAAAGACATTTGTCTTTGTGTTGGAAACATTCAAGATCTTCTCTACCAGCTCTGTTGAAATATTCAGTGAATTGCTGTGAATCATAGTCCCCCCTCCGGTGCTGTAGAAATTCAGAAGTTACTCCTCCACCTATCAGCTGCAGCCTGTGCCTATTAACTAGCCCGTCTCTTTCTGCCCTGGCCACACCCTAAGGCTCAGGTAAGACCTATTCTACTCCCTGCTTCTTTAAGAACTTGTCATCTTCCACACACAAGTCCGAGCACATAGTATTTGTCCCTGGTACTCTGGTGATGATTTCTTCTTTTATGTTTCAATTCTCTCTGGAATTCATTTTAGTGTATATGTGATTGTCACAGCTAAATGGATTTTTTTCTTATCCAAATGACCAGTGCAGTTCCTGAATAAGTGATTCCTTTCATTTTAATTGTGAGCATTCTTTTCTCATAGTTTTTATAAAAATTAAGGTTCAGCTTGGAGGTGGAGTAACACATGCCTGTACTCCTAGCACTCCAAGAGGGTGAGGCAGAAGGACCGCAAGTTTGAGCACAGCCTGGGTAACTGAATGATTAAGTGAGACTGCATCTCAAAGTGAAAAACAAAAAGGGCTGAGGCTGTAGCTCAGTGAAGAGGTCCTGGGTTTAATCCCCAGTACTACAAATAGAACAAAACAAAAAACACTAAGATTCATATCTTTTGGGGTGATCTTTTCCTACTAAGAAATCTCTCTTTTTTGGTTTGCGACAGTCTTGCTGTGTAGTTCAGGCTGGGCTTGAACTCACTATGTAGCCCAGGGTGACCTTGAACTCTCAATGATCCTCCTGCCTCAGCCTCCTGGGATTATAGGCATGTGCCATTATGCCCTGGTCTTATTTAATATAATTTAATATAATTTAAGTTAATTTTTTGAGACAGGGTCTCACCATGTAGTTCAGACCAGCCTTAAATTCACTACCTAGCCCAGGGTGGCCTCAAACTTGAGGCAATCCTCTTGCCTCAGCCTCCCAAGGGCTGGGATTATAGGTGTGTGCCACCACACCTGGCCCTCAACCTTTTTTTAAAAAATTGCATTCTCCTTATAAACAATCATATGAGCCAGGCCTGGTGGCACAGGGCAAATACATACATGTATATGTGTATATGTATATATTTAAGAAAGAGAACACTACCAAGCTGGTCATGCTGGTGCACACCTGTAATCCCAGCCCTTGGGAAGCTGAGGCAGGAGGACTGCTGTGAGGTCAAGGCCAGCCTGGGCTACATAGTGAGTTCAAGGTCAGTCAGGACTGTCTGACCTTGTGAAACCCTGTTTCAAAAAAAAAGAAGGAACAAAAGAAAGAAAAATAAAGAACACTATCACATCTATATGTCTTTATAGTGTAATTTCTCCTTGTAGTCTCTATCTCCAGAAAGGTAGTCACTGTTCTGACCTTTATCCCTACAGGTAGCTTCCCTCATTCTGATTTTTTTTTTTTTTGATCTTTATATGAATGGGATGATACAGTGTGTACTGTTTTGTGTCTGGTTTTTTTCATTCAACACTGCAAGATGATCCATGTCATGCATAGCAGTAATTTGTGTTTTTTCTTGCTGTAGAGTAGTTTACTATATGACTCTAATACAATTGACTTGTCTTTTTCCTTCTGATGAACCTTCTGGTTGTTTCTAGATTTTACTTATCAGAAATAATGCTGTGTGTTATGGTTGAAACATTGTGTCAACTTGGGGAGTCTAGAGGTTTGGCTAAGTGACTTTTAGCAGGAAGCCAGAGTGCTTACTTTGTATACATCCTGAGCCTGTGGAAGAGGAGGGCAAAGATTATGTGAGAGCTACACACACCCCTTAGGTGGGGGTAGCCTGTTTACAAAGTAAGGCAGGGAAAAAAAAGCTGCTTGCCGCCATTCCTCCCTATTGCTCTGGCTGTTTGCTGTTCGGCTGCCATTCCCCCCTTTGCTCTTGTTGCTTTGCTATCTTCTGCCTCGGAGCCAGCCAAGTATGGACTGAAACCTCCACAAACTGTAAGCTAAATAAACCTTTCCTTCCTTCATTTTGGGCGTTGGGTATTTTGTCTCAGCAACGAGAGAAAAGTAACCAAGACACTGTGTTAACTACTCCCATACAGTAGTCCTCCTACACGTGGTTTCACTTTCCACAGTTTTAGTTACTTGCTGTCAACTGAGGTCTGAAACTATGCAATGGCAAATTTCAGAAATAATTCACTAGCAGCACGATGCAGTTGCAGAGCTGTGCGGCCGAGCGCTAATCACCAGGGCGCCTTTGCAGCTGGAAGCCGTTCAATTCCTTGATCTCGTTACCTCTAAAAGATCTTGTCTCTAAAAACGGCCAATACCTCAGACTAAGAAGCGCCTGCTTTCTGCCAGACACACCAGCTAAGTCCTAGAACGTGCTTAAATTTTGTTAGTGATTGTTTTGCATCTACTTCATCACAATATTAAAGCTTTCAGGTATCACAACACACTTTTGCATTTTCTAAAATACATTGCGTTGCTTTTTTTAATCCCTCAACCGAGCTGAACCGAACCAAACCAAACCAAACCAAACAACGCAGCATTTTCGGCTCTAATGTTCCCAGCAACAGGTAGGCGCAAGATGTGCGCAGAGCGACCGCTCCCTCCCGGATCAAAACCACCGCTCCAGCTCCCTCTGGCGTCCGCTTCCTCCTCTATCTCAGCCTGAAACCTTCACGTCTTAGAATCCCTGAATCCACTTCTCAGCAGCGTAACAACCAGAGGTTTAGTTTTGTGAGTTGGTCCCCGGGACAACACACAGCATCCGGCGGTGGCCGAGGTTCTGGGGTCTGTGTGGGGCTCAGAGATCCGATTGGCGGCCCCAACGTGAAAACAGTCGCACCTATACTCTTCCGCGTCCCGCCCTGGGCGTAGCTCCTTTTGGGTGTGGGTGCTGGCGTTGGAGCTGTTGGCGCTCAGGCTCCCTGGCGCTGGGGATAAGGACGTGACTCTGCAAGACCCTTGGGAGCGGAGGCTGTTGGTGCCCCAGTGCTCGGCCCTGGCAAGGCTCTTAGCACTGCCCCGCCCCGCCTTTCGTATGCCGCGGGGTTCTACACGTCCTCGGGGTTTCTAAACCACCCAGCCCGTGGGCGCTTGAGACCTCACCATTGAAGCCGATCACCGCATCAAGTTGCAGCTCCGCCACCTCTTTGTCCTCGGGCGAAATTTCCTCACCCATCGCCCGGAGATGCTCTGTTCACAAATTCTTTCAGCAACAGCTTGGGTCGCGTCTCCTGGTCGTTATGGGAACGGTTGTGCGCATGCGCACCAGGCCCACGTTCCCGCAGAAACCAATTTGGGGGGGCTGGGGTTGACTTGTCCTCTTGCAAATGTATGGAGGGTGTCCCTTTTCTGTTTCCTGTAAGTGTAGAGTAGAGGTGGTAGGGTGGGTACTAAATGCACAGAACAAATTCCTCCTTACTTAGTGTAGTCTGTGACCTTTTTGGTAACTATATAATTAAGCTTCTACTTGGCATTTTAAAACTAACAGTGAATTGCCTCTGATGCGTGAGTCCTATGCTGGAAGCAGGTAAAAAGATTTTAACGATTTTTAAAAAGCTTTGCTAAGGCATAGCTTACTTATCACAATACAGTATTAACTTGGTATGCAATTATCGCCACAATACAGTTTTGTTTTGTTTTTGAAACAGGGGATAAAAATTTTAAGGAACTGCGCGAGAGCAATCTTGAAGGTTTCTCAAAGCGCTCTCACCTTGGGAAAACGCTTCGATTCTGTTCAACAATAATTTTATTTTAATTTCACCAGCAATTCGCATCTTCTAGTAGGAGCCCTTACACGTTTGTTTGTTTGTTTTGGTTACAGCTCTGAGGCCCCAAAGTGAAGTAAATAATCAGTTTGCAAACTCCAGGCGCGCAGCGGCCGAACCGCGAGGAGTGAACCACGCGGGCCGCCGTAGTCAGCTGCTGGGAGCAGGAAGTGTCCGAGCAGCGGGCGGAGACTGCACGATGGCACCGGACCCCTGGTGAGTCCCAGGGGTGAGGGCGGCGGTGCACTGGGGAGCCTGAGGGCGGGTCGGGCTTCCCGGAGCCGGCAGTTCCGTAGTTTTGAGGCTGAAGGCCTTTCGGGATGAGGAAAGGAACAGCGAGGATCTGGGGACCCCTGCTGAGCCACAGCCCACTACTCCTGGTCCTTCTGTGGATGAGCCGGGAGGGAGCCCGAGTGGGCTGCCGAGGAACGGGGGCCGGACCCGAACCCCCGTAGATTCCTGCAGCTCTTTGGGGCTGCGCTCTCCGCGGGGATTTCCCGCCCACCCGGGTTGTGGGGCTGGTGCAGACTTCTCTGACTCCTGTAAAAGTGAGGTAGAAATAACCTGTTCGTGGACTCTCGGTCCATCTGCTAAACCCCCTTCGTTGAGAACCCGCGGCTCAGAATTCTTGGTCATTAGCTGTTGAGCAGAGGCAGATCTTGTGGGCCCTTCCAAAATCGTGGGAATCCGGGAGGGAATTTAAGCCCTTGAGATAAGACATTTTACTCCTCCCGGAATCAGTCTTATCAGTGTCCTGGAGACTGTTCCTTCAGCAACAACTTCTGCAAAAAAAACAGCAGTTGATAAGGGTCATTCTTTCAGCAGTGAAAGCCCGAGGACTAAGTAGTTAAAGATGCAAACTCTAAACCTAAGGGACAAACTGCTATACATAACAGGCTTGACTTTTTTTGTTTAATAATTTACAACATATTAGAATTGTAAAATTCTTGTTGGGAGTATATGTCTTATGTTGTTTCTAGCACAGTTTGTAATTGTTTAAGTTACAGATAATTTGGATGTTAGGAGAATAGATTTCAAGGTCAGAATTACCTGGTACCTAGATTATCTGGGCTGGTTGCTTAATTTAATATTGCCTTTTTAACAATAGTGTACACCACTGATAGAAAATTTAGAAAGTACAGAATGTTTACAGAAAGAAAATAAATCACTTCTTTAACTGTTACTCGGAAAAAGCCATTATTGATATTTACAATGAATTTATTATTCTATATGATGCATGTTTTACAAAACAGGAAGCATTTCTCCGTATCACTAAATGTTTTCTGAAAACGTGATTTTTATGGTGCATATCACTGTGTCATATGAGCATAATTTATTTTAGGATTTGTCTTTGATCTTTGCTATGCCAAAGGCCGACCTTGCTTTCCCATCTGTTTCTTTGGGATGCTGCCACAGAAGTAGAACTATTGGGTTTAACTATGGACATTTTTAAGGTCCTCAATACATCTGAAGTTATTCTCTACTTTTCTGGAAGCAAACTCTCATACTTCACACATAAAGTAAGAAATAAAGCGTAGTGATAAGGGAGGTCCCTTCCCTCCCAGTTGCCCATTTAAATTGGTGAAAGTGAGAACTGGACCCCATACCTCTTCCCTGGTTACTATTGAAAAAAAAAAAAACAACTGTACTCTTCCTATCATTCTCAGTTATTTGACTAAGTGACTTTCTCATTTAACAGTTGAAAGTGAAGCAGACCTTTACTGTGCTCTGATTGGCTGCTTTACACCATGGGTTGCTGGTGAGGAAGGTAGAAAGAATACAGAAAGGGACTGTGAAAAACCCAGGAGCCAGGTGGGGTGGCGCCCACCTGTAATCCCAGCCCTAGGGAGACTGAAGCAGGAGGATCTCTGTGAGTTGGAGGCCAGTCCGGGCTACATAGTGAGACTGTCTCAAAAAGCAAAACAAAACACCCTAGGAAAAGTTACTGCAGTTTTCTTTCTGTGCTACTGAAAATCATAGCCAATCAGTGCCTTCCTCATGAGTTGTGTTCTAATATTTAGAGATCCAATATAGCAGTTACTATTTGAATGCTTTATCAAAGCAAGTGGTGAGCTTACTGTTTAATAGAAATACGTGATAACTGCATCTGAGCTGGTTGTTTGCTAAAGTTAATTACCTGTCTGTACTACTGGAGCAACTTATGCTTTGATGAAGTTAATTACCTTTGTTTACTACTGAAGCAGCTAATTTTGAATGAAATACCTGCTTTAAAAAAAAAAATTGTATTTTGAGACAGCATCTCTGTAGCTCAGGCTGGCCCCGACTTCACAGCGATCCTCCCACCTCAGCCTGGGATGATAGGTGTGCACCGCAACACCTGCTCCATTTCTGGAAAAATTAGTTAGACCTCAGTGTTCTGCTTGGGCGTCCTAAGTATTGGTGGTTTTTGGTTTTTAGGGTGTGGGCTATTTACTTTTTTAAAATGTTATCATGGAAGGTAAAGGATACTGAAGTAGAGTTGTATGCTGGACTCCTTCATATCATTGGGTTTTTGTAATTAGCAATATTCTTCCATTTTTGTTTCATCACTGCCATTCACACCACTATTTCTTTTGGTATGCTTTAGATTGTATATATGTTAATGTATCTGTACTTTCACTGCCTTTCGGGTCAAAATAGAGGCCTCTCTTACAGTCTGGAAACTTCTTTTACTTCTGCCAGTCCCTCTGCCCGTGTGGCAGCATCACTGTTTTTTAGTGACTTCACCCTGAACACATTACTTGTTCCCTTTTCTCATTCCTTATATCAGATTAGTCACTAATTCCCATTGGTTCTTTCTTTTAAAATTGCTGACATCCCTTTTCTGATGTCCACTTCTACTGTCATCCAGACCTTTATAACCTAGTATTTTGCACATAGTAATTACTAGTAATTGTGTGCAGAATGTAATAATCTGAGAAATCTACTAGCCTCCAGCTGCTACCCTCTTATTTTCTCTCATTACTATTTATATAAATAAATTGAGTTGTGCTTGGTGGTGCACTCCTATGTTCCCAGAACTCCGGAGGCTGAGGCAGGAGGATCTCCCTGAGTTCAAGGCCAGCTTGCACTACAAAACAAGACCCTGTCTCAAAAAAAAAAAGATTAGTTTTCCTAAATGATAATTTAAGCAGCTGTGTGCCTGACACCCTGATGACTGCCCACTGTTACTAGGCCAGTGTCCCTCAAGCTTTGCTATAGATTGGAAACGTCTTGGGAGCTTTCAAAAATCCCCATGTCTGGGTCAGACTGCACACTAGTTAGTCAGAGTGCTTGGAGGTGGGATGAGAGCCAGGCTTCTTTTTTTTTTTTAAATTCTCCTCTGATTTAAATGTGCAGCAAGATTTCAGAACCCCTGCTGTTAGGGCTGAAAGAAGAATATAGGGATTGGGTGGGGGGTGAGGCAAGACATTGGCAATTTGTCCTAGCTGTGTGACCTTCCACATTTCATTTAAGCTTTTCAAGGCTGCTTTCTATATATAAAATGTCCTCTGTGGCTCTCAACTCTCCTTTAAGACTGGTATTCCAGGCTCTGCAGAGACTACCTTCTATCATCGCCACTGTTTTATACTTTACCCTCCTGCCATGGCAGCCATGTGACTGAGCATGCCTGGCCTGTTTTCTTCCTGTCCCGTTTGCTTGTCCTGTACGATTTGCACCATGTACAGCATGTCCCTCTCCTCAGCATCTGAGCAAGAGGCCTGCTTTAACTTCATTCAGCCCAAGATGTCACCTTGTGGCCCAGCCTCACTGAGTGCCTCGGTGAACAGTAATTTCTCCCATCTCTTAGCTCCAGAAATACTTGATTAGACTTCATGCTTAGCAGGATTTGGTTGTGGATTCTTACATGCTTGATCTGGGACCACAGAGCCAAAACTAAGATGTTCATTTCATAGATGACAGTATGGAGGGAAAGAAGGAAAACATGGCAAGCCTGGGACCAGGACCCAATTTTCCTTCTGTTTTCATAATTAGGTGGTGTTCTACCTGTTCTTTTTCATATACACGTGTATATGAATGATGTTATATATATATATATATATATATATATATATATTGCTACTGTGTAGAGTCTAAGGTTAGTGGCTCACAACCCTGCCTCCTGGGGTCCTTAAGAAGTTTACAGTGAGCTCTTAGGAAAGGACCTGGCTCAGATCAGGTGCTCAGCCATTAGCTGCTGTTATAATTACTTTAGTAAGATTCCTGAGGGATGCAGTTGGAAAGTCTTCATTTAAGAAAAAAAAACCACTTAACACCTAGGCATCCTGGTGTATGCCTTGCAGTCCCAGCTCCTTTGGGGGGCTGAGATGGGAGATCACTTGAGCCCCGGAGCTTGAGACTGACTTGGGCAACATAGCTAAACCCTATCTCAAGAACAAAACAAAAACAAAACATTTATCAAGTTCCCTCCATGCACAAGTGATACATGGGAGTTGGAAATGGATTATTTTCTTTTCTCGAGCAAAAATTGGAATGTTAAGGCAGACAGCAATTTTCAATATTTCAAATACGTTCATCGCATGAGTACAGCAGGGCCCTCACTTTTACAAACAGACCGGCTGGTAGGAGAAATGAAATGTTTGTGCACACTTAAGTATTTTCCTGAAAACAAGCAAAGGTGCTGTAACCGAAGGATAAAAGCAGGGCCACTGGGGGTTCATTGTGAGTCCTTCAAAAACTCCAGCACTTGAATAACAAGTAGAAGGTCAGTGAAGTGTTTGGAGAGAATTCTAGCAGACTTAGGTGTCAGGTGGATGTGTAACCTTTATCACCAGAACAGTTTGTTGCAGGTTGCACAGTACCTGCCATTCTTGCACTGTGGAGCTCTTCTCCAGGTAGACGTGCACAACTTGCTTCTCACCTTGTCTCAGGGTCCCCTGTCTTCATAGTACCTCCTGGTCACTCTCTTTACCCTGCTGCAGTTTTCTTTTCAGCTCATATCAACAGCTGGCATACAGCCTGTTTATTTGGGGACTAAACTTTGTTCACAGCTCTGTTCATTCACAGTGCCCAGAACTGTGGTCTGTACAGTGCAGGCCCTCCAGGAATGTTTGTTATTGCACAAATGCATGAATGCAGATGCTTTCTCATGGCCCAATAGCAAGGAGTTTAAGAGCCCAGGTCTTAGGGCCAGGCTGCCTTGTTCTGCTGGGTGAGTCAGGCTACCTCTGTGGAGCTCGTTTCCTAGTGTATAGATGAGGTGGTAGCAGAGCCCCCCTCCATGTACCTGAGTGCATTAAGTGAGTGGTTACAAACGAGACATTTGGAAGGGTGCCTAGCCATAGTAAGTACCATTTAATACTTACTGCTATTCCTGATCCTGTTTATTATTCTCCTTTCCCGTTTGAAGCTGTGACTAGAATTAAAAACTCAGCTTGGACAAGTAAGGAATTTCTTTTTATTTCTTTTTTTGTTTTTTTGAGGCAAGGTCTCCCTGTGCAATGCAGGCTGGCCTTAAACACACCGTGTAGCCCAGGCTGGCCTTGAACTCACAATGATCCTCCTGCCTCAGCCTCCCGAGTGCTGGGATGATAGGTGTGTCATCACGTCTGGCCATAGGAATTTCTTTTTTAAAGAACCTTAAACATCTTTCTCTACTCTGACTTTGCTGCAGGTTCTCTACATATGATTCCACCTGTCAAATTGCCCAAGAAATTGCTGAGAAAATACAACAACGAAATCAGTATGAACGAAGAGGTGAAAAGTCATCCAAGGTAACACCAGGAGAAAATTAGTACTTGAATGATTTTTTTTCTGTTTTTTCTTTTTGTTGTTGTCGTTGTTGAGTCAGCTATGTAGTTCAGGCTGGCTTTGAAGTCCGAGTGCTCCTCCCAAGTGCTGGGATTCTAAGAATGCACTAGTATGGCCAGCTCAGTACTTACATGATTTTGAGCGTGGAGGTCTGAAAACCTTCCTATACTTAAGGCTGTGTGTGTGTTTGGGTGTGTGTCAGTGTGTGTAAATCTGAAAAATTTATTGTGGTATGTTGTAGATGTCTAATTTTATTTTTCCCCATTTGCTAGATTAGAATTCCCTCCCCCAAGATACAAAATGTTCCCATTTCACTCACTGGACTTTTATGCAGCTACAGTATTCCTAGGCCTTCTGCTTCCTTGCGCTGTTGGCACAGTTGACAAGTGCCAGCATCACATTCTTGTATTTTTTTTTAATAATGACACCTTATCTGATTATTTAGGGGTCCTTTTATTATTCCTGTCATTTTTTTCTTCACATATCCTGCTTTCAGAGTGGTTTTGTGAAGCTCCGTTAAAGAAAATTTTGTGCTGGGCCTTAATTTCCACTGCCTCTCTAATAAAAAATGGGGAAAACTTAACATTTTTTATAATACTGCATATTTCTTTTCATTCTCATTTTATCCTTTCATGTATTTAGTCCTTTAGCAATATTTACTGTAGTTATTATGTGCCAGGCACTAGGATACATGCTTTTTAGATTTTTTTAGTGTTGTTCATAAATTTTGAAAATAATAATTTGAAAAATTCTCTCTAGTTATTACTTAAATTTAGGAATGTCTGGTTTTTATTTTCATTTTATGTCTGTACTGAATTCTTTTGTTCTTTCAAGTAATCTTTCAATTGATTCTTCTAACTTTCCCAAGTAGAAATCTGTTAATCTGCAAATGAGAGTTTCATCTTCTTTTCAACCCTTATAGATTTTTTTTAATTCCTTGTAGCATCGGCTAGAACTTGTAGACCAGAGTTAAATTATAATACATTCTAGGCAATTGTGTTCTATTCTTAGTTATCTTTCTTTGTTTTTTTTGTTTTTAATTTCCTCCATGCTGTATTAATCATATGTTTATTCTGTTTTTAATTATTAACACCATAAGCTTTTATTTTTAGGTTTAGACTGTCCTTAAATTACTAGAATAAATTCTCACTGGCAATGACATAGTCTTTTTATTGTAATTTTAAATTTCCTTTACTAATACTTAAAATTGTTTTACATTTATAATCTGTAAGTGAAATTGATATGTGTCGTGAACTCACTATGTAGCTAAGGCTGGTCTTGAACTTGCATGATCCTCTTACCTCTGCCTCTAGAGTGCTGGGCTTATAGGCATGTGCTGCTATCCCTGGCTGATTTTTTTTTTTTAATGACCAGGTTAGTTTAAAGTACTAATTAGGCTTTCCATCTTTTTCTGTGCTCTCGAAGCTCCTGTTTCATTATGATAATAAACCTTTTTTTTCATGTTTGTAATCATCTTCTTGTAATATATTAAGAGATCTCACTGCTTAAAGATAACCACCCTTGGCATTTTGGTGTATTTAGATTCTGTATTATTTTTTCTCTCCTTGGGTGACTTTTTCTTTTGCTTTTTAAGACAAGTTCAGAGTCTGTCTTCGAACTCACTATGTAGCCCAGGCTGGCCTCAAACTCACAGCAGTCCTTCTGCCTCAGCCTCCCGAGTGCTAGGATTATGGGCATGTGCCACCATTCACTGCTTGGGTGATACTCTTCCGTTCTAACAGAGTGAAAGTTGAATCATTTATATTTTTTTTTTTGTCTTTTTGAGCCAGGGTTTCACTTTGCAGTTTAGGCTGGCTATGAACTCACTTTGTAGCCCACATTGGCCTCGAATTTACAGCAATCCTCCTGCCTCAGTGTTGGGATTATAGGCGTGTGCCACCATGCTTGGCTGAATAATACTCTTTAATGACTATATACTCTTTCATCTCTTGAGTGATTTGGGGGCCTTTACTTTTATATGCTCATTATAGGCCTGGCGGTGTCTGTGTGTGTTTATGCTATTTTATTTTATTTTATTTTATTTCATTTTATTTTATTTGCGACAGTCTCGCTATGTTGCCTCAGCTGTCCTCAGCCTCCTGGATAGAGGACTCCAGGTGCCCATCACTGAAACCAGCTTGTAGTTTTTGTTTTGCTCTTTACTTTCACAGTGAGAAGAAACCTGCTTTCCTGGGAGTAGCCCTATGAACATTAGGGGTTTTTCCTTGGTTTCCAGAGGTATCAGAATAAAGTTAGATGACCTTTTTCATTGGCTGTTGATACCTTGGAGCATTGCTTGATGTGCATAACAGACCATGGCCAGCCTCTCACCGTGGCCCTGCTGACCTGAGGAGCCGGTGGCCTTCCACCTAAGTTACATCACTGCTTCTTGTAACAAGGCGGCAGATGAAACCTGTGGTATTCTGGCTTTGTAATATATTCACCCGTGGTCTAATATGTTTTCATTTAAGTGGGCAGTTTTATTTTCATATTTCCAAATTCCATAAACGCACCCCCCCATACTTCTCCATCCTTCAATGTAGCACTTTAGATTCAGAAACAAAAGTTTCCTCTGGTCTTTTAGAATAATTGGAGAAAACTCACACAGTCTTGGAAAAAGAGTCCCGAGTGGTTCCCATTCCTCACGCATAAAAGAACACTTTCCTATAAACGGTTCAGATGGGTTATAAACACACCGCGGCAGAGGCTGGTTTGGATGGTGATGGGACTTGACGCCATGTTGTTTGAAGCTTGGCTCAGGGAACTGTGAGATTTTTGCTGTTGAGTGGAGACTTTTGGAAACACTTTCCTGCATGGCCCCAGGGTAGACAATAGGATCAAAGGGCAGAAGCTCAGGGGACAGAACCCAGCTGAGCCTGAGGATAGATTGGCAGCTCCTGGTCAGTGCCCACAGTCAGACAGTCTGGGCTGCCCTTGGGCAGGCTTTCAGGGAGGTCCGAGGCTCAGCTAGGTGGCTGGACCAGGTCACCACTTTCCCTCCTGCATTTGTCCCCTGGAGGCTAAGCATCTCTTCTAGCCCATCCTTGATGGAATTCTGGTCTGGGAAGCCACCTCTACCTGATTCGATTTCATAGGTTCTGCATCGCTGGACTGGAATACTTAGGATGTGTTCTTTTCTTTTCAGCTCACCGTGGCAATCCGAGCCTTGTTGCACAACTTGAAGGAAAAGATCGCCCTTCTGAAGGACTTATTGCTAAGAGCGGTGTCAACACATCAGATGTATCCATGTAAACAGTTCCACCTCTTTTGCAGAGTGGGAGGAAAAGCAATCTTATTTTAAGAAAGGAAGGAATCTGGGCCACCCAGACTTTTCCACAGTTTGAGGAAGACCTGGTTTCCACACTGTTCCTATGATCCTGAGTTCTATGTTGGGGTCTGTTACATGTTTTACAGTGAATCTGCTGGCGAGGCATTAGCTGGCTTGGGCGTACCCCTTAGTGGGCAAGAAGCTGATACTTTCTGTGTTGTGTGTACGGAGCCCACATTGCTCTCGGCTGCTGCCTTGAGGGTGGCCAGCTGCTGCTGCAACAGCAGACTGAGCTCGGACTCCACTTCTGACATTCCAAAGTTTGTAATGAGCCGTTTCTCCTGGGAGAGGCCAGTACCAGTAGAAACCATATGTCTTTTGCTGTTGCTTTTACTGCTTATGTAGATTTTTTTTGAGACAGGGTCTCCCTGTATAGTTTAGGCTGGCCTTGAGTTCACTGTGTAACCCAGGCTGGCCTTGAACTCATGGCGATCCTCCTGCCTCAGCCTCCCAAGTGCTCAGATTACAGGCATGTACCACCATGCCTTGACTTATGTAGATTATTGAGATGTGAATTGTTTGCCTTATTATTCTTCCAGGAGCACAGGTATTACCTCTAGTTTGGAAAATTTGGGGTGGAAGGAGGAGTGGGACTTGCTTAAAGTAAGTTGGGCCATCATCTTAGCCTCCTGCCAAGTGTCAGAATTTTTCTTAGAAATTCATAATCTGATCAGTATAGGAAAATATATGTGAATTATTACCTAAACTAATCATTTGAAACTGAGTTTATATTAATTTGAAAACTGATCTCAAATGGCTTTCTCTCATTTTCCTCTAAATTGTTAGTAGTTCATGCCAAAAACCCATCTTTTTTCTTTTCTTCTTCTTTTTTTCTGAGACAGGGTCTCACTGTGTAATTCAGATTGGCCATGAACTCACTGTGTAGCCCAGGCTGGCCTCATACTTGTGGTGATCCTCCTGCATCAGCCTGAGATTACAGATGTGGGAAAAGGCCCAGTTTTTGTTATTAGAGGAAGTGGTTACATCCTGGCTTTAGGTATGGGAAAATTACATAGAATATATAGAAATTGTATAGAATGTAGCTTTTTAGATAAAAAATGGAAAGTGTTCAAGGAAAACACTTTCCTGCAAATGTAACCCTCTTATGTTTCCAAGAAGGTTGGTTTAGATTAATTGCATGGCTTTCCATATATCCAATTATTAATCCAGGAAGGTTTCAAGTAGAATTTTAATTTCAGTAAACAACTGGGGGCTTCTTTGTAACACAGTCAGAGTATTCTGATAGGCTTTGTTTGTAACTTGATCCAACTGGTATCATTTGTTACTGCCCAGTTAGTCTATTGTAAAAGTTTGAGCTTTTATTTTACCAACGTAAAGAAGTCTAAATACGTAAACCTGAAGTTGTTTCAGATGGGCAAGGCTCTTTCCTCCACTTTCACTACTCTGTGCCGGGAAGTCTGCACGTGGAGTGACACTAATTTGTTTTAGTGTCAGACATCTAACAGGTACATTAGAAAGGCAACTAAATACCTTATCACTGTTTCATGGTAGAGTACTGGTACCTATGTGTTTGGTAGCTTCCATTAAGATAATTATGTGTTATCCATCTCACTTATGTGCTAAACCTATACAGCCAGGGAAATCTATACATTAGGATAATATATAATAAACGTATAAATCTATACATTTATTTATCTAGATATAGTGGCCATACCTGTAATACAGTACCGTAGGAAGCTCTGGCAGGAGAATCACAAGTTTTTAAGCCCAGCCTGAACAACTTAGCAAGACTCTGTCTCAAATTAAAAAAATAAATAAATAAATGTTGAGAATATAGCTCAGTGTAAAGGCTCTGGGTTCATTTCCCAGTATTGGAAAACAAAAACAAAAACAGAAGAGCAAAAAAAAATGTTAATTTTTGCTACTAATAATTTCTGCTAGTTATTAATTAGAGAACACTAAATATGCCATAGGAATAATTGACTTTGTTCTCCTAGTGCTTCCAGTCTGACCATCTGTAATCTCTTGGGGTTTTAGTGTGGTTTTGTGGTGATCTCAGAATACCTCCCAAATTACTGAATTAAGCACCGTGCATTAAAAACCCTGAACAGAGTTATTTAAAACATTACAAAAATATGTAGTGACCTTAATGTGGATAATTCACAAATTCCTAGGAGAAATTAAAAAAACTCAACTTGCATGAAAAGGCTTTCTTTACAATTCTATTTTGTTTCCCAATTACTGTAACCATAGTCCCTACTGCAGGGCATGGCATGCAGACAATCCATCCCCAGGGGGCGCTCCTGAATTTCTGTGTTTTCAAGGAGGCTATTTTTCTTCTGATAGGGTGGAAAGAGGGAGGTAGCTTCTGTATTATGGCCCTTCTCCCCCTTTTTTGGTGCTGGCATTTGAACCCTGCATGTGATGAGCACACGATCTACCACTGAGCTACACCTCCAGCCTTACATAGCCTCCTGGTAATCCTGCTTGTTTCCATCTCCCTTTTCTTTGCCTTCCTTCCTGTTCGCAAACATTTAATAATTCTGTAACAGTTACCCTCCACACTTAAGGTGTGTTAGACAGCAACTTGTCAGTCCTGATAACCTCATGTTATTGGTTAGTTTTGGTGATCGCTTCTCTTGACAAAAGAGGTACTGAGGGTGGGCCACACTTTGGACCTCAGGCCCCTAATGTTGAAAGGAGAATCCAGCATTCCAGTGAGGAGATTTTACTCTGAGGAGAGGACTGTGAGAGTTCTGGTGTTTTACTCGGGACCTCACAGCTGGGAAATAGAAGAGCCAAATTCAAGCACAGTCTGGCCCCAAGTCAGTTGTTTAGTGCTGACTTTTATTTTAGTAGAAATAATATAGTCAACTATCTCCTGGCATGTCTTCCACTAGAATTTTCTATTAATTGCTGTAGGGCCAAGATAAATCCTGTTTATAAGGCAGATCCTGAAGAAACTTCTTAATCATCAGAAAGATTAAACAGTGTTCACTGTAGTTTATTAGATACACTACTTTATGACATTATAATTCTCAGAAAAATTTTTATCCATAAATCACCAACACAGTGACTTTTTAATCCTGTTGTTGAGACATAATTAATGTCAGATGACTTTTCCAGTGTGAATATTTGAATAGTACATTTCCTCACAGTGCTGGGTAGTTAAGTTATGGTATTTACTGAGTTTCTGCTTTTCTGGATTCATGGAGTTTTCCAGAGGCTGCTAGGAATTGCCAAAAAGATAAGTACTATGACAGTGTTTTCTAAACAGTTAAATTCCTGGAATTTAGATCTAAGATGTTATTCTGTTTCCTGAAAAAGTACTTTACTCCTGGCAAGGATGAAGATGAAATTAAAATGAAAGTTCTGTGCTTTTGAATCCATGAGTTTACAATTAATAAACCAAAGTCTCGTGGCCAGAGAGGTTAGAACTGCTGGACCGCGTGACTTCTGTCCACAGCACTCCTCCGAGAGTCTCGCTGGTTAAAGCGATGTGTTGTTGAACGCTCCATGTGAAATTTCAAGCGGTACCAAAAATACTGTTACAACCGGCTTTACATGAAGCTTGCACTTCAGTTAGCTTTTCAGTGGCAGCACCTTTACCTCTTTAAAGAGAATAAAAATAATCTCTTTAACAAAGGGGTTTAGTATCAAAAGGTATTTTTGGTGCCGTAGGAGAAGGCCTGTGGAAATACTTTTTAAAAAATCTCTTAACTCTTATGACCTCTTTATTTTTGGGGAAAAGCACAGGTAGAGAGATGTGATAATCCCTATATAATAAACCCCCATGGTTGCAGGTGTGGAGAGGCTGAGCGGACTCTGCACATATCCCCTGGTGACTGCAGGAGAGGGACAGTGGTTCTCAGACACCGCCTGTTCGTGACACTTCTTACATAGATGTAAACACAAAGATCTGTGTTGGTACAAGGTTCTTTCTAGTTTTTTATGTTAAGATCTTGATTTTTCATCATGATAGATAAAGTAGGTAGTTTTACATGTTTTTTGAATGTCCAGTCAATACCTGGCAAGATGTGTAATTGGTGCTTCTCAATTAAGTACTTCTCCTGTCCCTGGTTTGTTTGGAAACACGGCTGCTTGTGAAATCTGCAAGTCGGGTGTCATCAGTACAGTGGGAAGAGCATCGGCTCCGGAAGCAGGCAGACCTGCGACTGACGACCAGTCTGTCCCTGCATCGAGGCCAAACCACAGTTCAGTCTTTCTGGGGCTTAGTTTCATTGTTTATAAAACTAGGACTAGTCCTAGTTTTGCAAATTTGTTGTGAAAATTGAAGACAATATTTTTAAAGCATCTCGCAGGCCTAGCCCCCACCCCAGTGGTGGGTGTTGAATAAAAGGTAGGTATTAACACTTACTGTGTAACCTTAGCCTCCTTGTGCCTCATTTTTTCATATGTAAAATAGGGATGATAAGAATCTTCCTGGTTTGTATTACTGTTATGAGGATTAGATTATATGCATAGAAGTTGCTTCACATTTGGTAAGTCCTCCTTGAGGATTAACTGCTATTATTATTTTAATCATTCTTATAAAAGTTAATGAGAATTTGTAGGCAAAATGGTTGTATTAGAGCACACAGATATTAAAATAGTACTTGCAAATGTGATTAGTGCTTTGTCAGGCGTGGTGGTACATGCCTGTAACCCAAGCTGCATAGAAAGCTGAGGCAGGAAGATCACAAGTTTGAGGCAAGCCTGGGCAACTTAGTGAGACCCTACCTCAAAACTAAATTACAGAGTTGGGTTGTAGCTCACTGGTAAGAGTGCTTGCTTGCAGGGTTCAGTTGTGCATAACTGTAATCCTAGCACTCAGGAGGCTGAACCAAGAGGATCGCTGCCAGTTCAAGACCAGCTTGAACTACATAGTGAGACCCTATCTCAAAAAAAAGAGTACTTTCCTAACATAAATGAAGCCCTGGTTTGATTTCCA